TTTCTTTTTTTTTTTTTTTTTTTTTGAATTTAAATCGATATTTATCGGAAATACCACTTCTTTTTCAAGGATTCGAGTTATAAAAATGCGCTTTCGAATGAATTCCGGAACATCTCATTCGATCTCGAACGTCGAAGTAAACAAATTAATTAATTAAAAAAAAAAAAAAACACGAACAAACAAATATTTCTCTTTTCACCGAAATATGTAAAAACATAAATTAAGAGATAGAATTTCGTTATCTTTCGGATAACGAACGAAAAATACGTACATGAGTGATTCACGTCGATCGATCACAGATGGATTATGCGAATCGATGATAAATCGTATCCATCGTCTCATATCTCAACCGTGCACCTCCTATTTCACGTTGAAAAATATCGCGATATCCGCCTCGCGCTCATCGAGCCTTCCTTCCAATGCCATAATCAACAACGTGATTTTTTTTTTTGTTTTTCTCTCCCTTTCTCCTGACATGTGATCGCTCGTACGAATGTTCTCCACAATGAAATATGTATACGTGACGTGGAAAGAAATAGGATGGAGGCGAAAATAAAAAAATAAAAAAATAAAAAAACCAGATATCTCACTCGCCGGTGTAAACATTATTGATGAGATCTCTGCGCGAGAAATTTGGCGTTATCTCTACGATGGGAGAGGAAAAATCGAGCTCCTATATTCTCCGTCGGGGAATTCTTTTTGAATATACGAGCTGAGAGATACAGTTTTGTCGCAAATAAAATACGATTCGAGTTGATGGTGAAGAGAAAGAACTGAAGGTGAGGCAAAAATGATTGGAAAAAGTAAGGCGAAGAAGATTCGTGAGAGAACGGAAGTCGAGGAAAAAAGAGAATTGAAAAAGAGATCGAGAAAGTTGGTTTAATAGTTTGGCGCATCGATAACGATACGATGAATCGTTAAACTTCATCATAAATGCATCGTTAATCAGGAAAAGTTCAGTGTAGCGAGTCGAGATAGATCGAAAATTTTCACCTTCAATCTTTTATTCGGATCGCGTAGCTGATGTGTATTTTTAATAACGAAATACCAAGAACCGTTTGAAAAAAATCGAATCTCGGATATAAATGAGAAATAATCACGCATGAGCGTGA